AATATTGTCAAGGCTGTCTCGTGATCAAAAGTTTAATGTGGCTGATGCTGTGCCACAGATTGTCATCAGGTTCAGTCAGTGTGGGTAAAGACTAAACTTGCTGCACACGGATCAGTGTTTAAGCCTGGTATAAACCATATCATATACAGCATATCTTAAGTCATGATTATTCATCAGCAACGATGTGAGTAAATACATTTGAATTTGTATCCAACCACTTTAACAAGATTAAAAAAAGGTTAGTCAATGAATGGAATAATCAATTAAGCAGTAAAGTGTTAACACTGTATTGCTATTGTTAGAAAGTATATCTGAACAATCAAATTAAATTCTCAAAATTACCTGAGATGGCTCAAAAATGTCCTGTGTGCATTCCTCAGTTTTTGTGCTGCATAAAAAAAAATAATAGAACACATTAGAACACACGTTGTACATGTGAAGAGAATTGTTTTATCTATTGCTGTCCTTGGAGACTCGCTGAAATGTTTGGCACGTACCTTCCATGATACGTCTCCTGTCGCATCAATCTTGAGTTGGTGCCATCCTGAGTAGGTTTCCTCCGTGGTGCTCTGTAGTAGCGATATTGCGACAGGTAGGAACTCTTTTCTGATTTCAAGGTCTTAGGGGTGAAAGGTTTTTCGTGGGTAAAGTGCTGTGAATGTTTCTGGAGCAAGTCTCCGCTGTACGTCTTCTGGACAGGGTCCTGGAAAGTCTTGTAGTAACTCTGATCTGCCGAGGCTCCCAGTGAACACGCTGACTGCTGTCTGTGCGACGTTGCCTCCGGGCTAAGGTATTGGATTTCTGATGCTGGGCGAATGTGACGAGACTGGTTGTGAGAACCAACTTTAAATGATGGATAAACTATCTCCTCGGCATGGAAGGAGGAGTTGAACCTGGGGCTGGAGACCGTGGAACTCCTTGAGCAGAGGTAGGGCCTGTCATCATATTGCACAGATAATCTACTCTGAAAAGCAAACATGTTGTATTGAAATAATCAAATTTGCTGGTCAAGCAATGCTATGGTTTCTGTATAAGATAAGCTGGCATCATATAAGGCAATGATAAACTGCCTTGATTTCTTACCTGGGCTGAAGAGCAGGAGGCTCTGCTATTCCTCTGCGAGAGAGAATGGGCCGACTGAGGACGACCACCTTTCCTCAACCGCTCCTGTCTGATCTGGTCATTGTCTGTAAAGAGGCGATGACAAAGTGAATAGACACAGAAAATAGTCTATAATAGGCAAAGACTCACTGCACTTATCTGCAAGGTATGAAAGATACAAGAGAGCAATTAAGATTGCACAGGTATAAGAAGAGAACATTTCTTTTACCGTTAAAGATGAGGATGAGTTGCATCCTGTCCTCAAAAGTGATGAGTGGTTGCATTGTATCAGTGCGTATTAAGGCTACTGTCTGTGCAGCAATAGGCCTCTGCATGTACTATGATTGTCTTCCCTAACTGTGATGAGTTGACTCTGATTACCACTGAGACACCAATACCTAACTGTTAGTGGTTACATAGAAAGCATTTCAACTAATTATAATGCTATTAAAAACATGGTGGGTGTGCTAAAATAAGAAATGTAAAATCAACAAAAAAATAAGCCCATGAATGTAACTTTTATTCTCATTCAAACAGTGAAAAAGTGTTTTGAGTTGAATTAATCATTTAATATTTGATGATTGGGTACTTACACTTTACACTGTGTATCAAGCTTTTGGGTACTGAGGCATCAATGGCCGCTGTGGAACACGGCAAAGTTGTAAAATCATAATGGATTTCTAATCTAACTAATATGCAATAGAGATACATGTTTTAAGCACAAGATGTAATATTATATATGCATGAACTGAATTTGTTTGTTCTACAGAATGTCAGTGTAAGAATCACAATGTATCCCTGCCATGTAACTCACCTTTAGCCGAGTAAACCTTTTTATAATGAGACACCATGTGGTCTTTAATGATGGACTGTGTCAATTTGGTGGAGGAGCGAGTGCAGAAAGCTAAAATTGCGACACAGAGAACAACAAACAGTATACCGTTACATTAAGCTATCATCTTACAAATGGCCATTACTCACTCGACTTAATTCTCATGATAATATCAGCACATACTAATACTTACGACTACTTTTTGAATTCTGTCCTCTCACACCAAGGCTGCAGCCAGATGATACACTCCCTAAAATAAACATAGATAGATGTGGACATGTTGACTCCCATAGTGAAGTAATACAATACTCAACCGTTTCAATAAATACTTAAATATTTATGTAAATTATCAAGCAAGCATTTGATGCATAACGCTTCTCAAGGGATTAACTATGTTTACCTTTTTATTATTTTTTAAACTGAAAACCCTCTTGGTTTTTTGACGAAACAATCTAAAATATTTTCAACAAGTCTTTAAATATTTAATAATATTTACGAATTACTTTTTGTCTAGCGTTACTTTTCTGTTCTAATCTGTTATTATTAGTAGTAGTTAGCAGATATTCTATTAACAAGTAACGTCACATGATGAAAACAATAAATCTATTTTTTGTTCGTGCTTACAGTAATACATGGTAATTTGGGTAATTTACACAAATTAATTCGTTTGTGAAAATAGTAGACACGGCCAAATGTCGTTTATATTTTATTGTAGCGTTACCTAAATAAAGTAACTTAACCTGAGCTACCTCAACTGAAGCATCGTGATACAAGCTAGCGTTAGCTACTAACATTACTGTCTTGGTTATGGATTTAAAAGTCTTAAGAACATGGAGAATGAGTCATTTAAAAGGCGGATCATTGTCAACATAAAATGGAAGCCACATTAGTGAGTATATACAAAGTCACCATGAGTTTATCCTCAGATAGCTAACTGCCTAAGCACAATATGAATGTGCTTCCTGCTGCTGCTTAACAGTTAGCTCGCTAGCTAATGCTAATAGTAGTAGTTGCATACCTATTCTTGATTCCATGGTAATGTTTATTCTCATCGTATCCCATTTTCCTCAGGAATACTCTGGGGCAGAGACGGCAGAGCTTGGACACATCCAGAAACAACAGTGTACTTAACTGTAAACATGTTAACGCTGAGAGATAATCAAGTGACGTAAGGGTAACAGCCTAAAACTAGCTTATAAGCAGATGGGCGGCGGAGCAAAGCTTTTCCGTCGCCATGCTGGTTGCTATGATTGCCTACGTCATCACGCTCTTGCGTAAGGAAAGTCACGCCTGAAACAACCAACCTCCCCCCACCCCCCCAATACCATAGCCACACGCACACACACCTTGTGTGTCACTTGACTTGAAAAGTGAACTGAAATAACAATTTCAATAATTCAATACATTTAATAAAAATCCAAAAGATGAATGACTATCAAATATATTTTTTACGTTTGTCTTTATTTTAATCCCACAGGCAACAGCACATATGCTTAAAACCAGTGGGCCGTGTATTTTATACCTGGGCCTTCAGTGCTGTCCTACTGCAGTTGAACCACCTCCTAATAACCTCAATATGATGCCAGCATCACGGGATGCTTCGTCATTAACGGGCAATGCATATAGTCAAAATCAATGTAATTAACACAATGACAAGAACAGTCACATATATTTATATGACAACAAAGCAGGTAGAATAACATAAAACCCAAATAACACGATTCAACAGGCCTCTGAACACACACGGAACAAGGAACACCGGACACAGAACACAGAACACGGAACACACACAGAACAAGGAATGGAACATACACAGAACACAAACGGAACAAGGAACGGAACACAGAACACACACAGAACACAACATATAGAACACACCCAGAACGGAGAACACAGAACCCGGAAAAGAACCCGGAACAAAAAAAAAAGACTAACATTCCCAATTGTATTTCAACATTGGGATACGTCTGGATGTGGACTTGATGCTTTTGGAGCCACCTTTTGAATATTAGACAAACAGAGCTTTACCTGCCCTACATTTTGTACAATCGTCTTCCTAATAGAGCAATTATTTAAGTTTTCAGAGGTGATGAGACAGCAGCATACATTTAGGACTGAAAATAGATTTCAAGGCCTCTGGAACAGTAAAATGCATCCATGCTTCCCAGGGTCCTAAATATATTCTGCTACCTATGTCTTGTTTATTACTGGTGGGCTGTTAGGACAGCTTGAAGTAACCATAGCCTGCTGCAAAACAAAAAAGTAAAGCAATAATGTTAGTGTGTGAAAAACGGACCAATTTGAATGACACAGAGTGCAACAAATATAAATTCTGATTCAAGTATGTCCATCATGGGAACATTCCATCAGCAGCATATTGTTAATTCTGCCATGTTCCTTGTATTGTTTGATAGACCTTTTAACCCCTAACGTCATTCACCAACAAAAGATTGTGACTTACTCAATTGTAGTGGGAAACAGACTCTTTGAACAGCAGTTAGCCTTAACCACAAATCAATTCATGCTTGTTTTGGTCAGTGTTTAAGAGTTTGATTTTATTACAGGCTTAAAAGGTACAAATGAATGTAAAGTAATCTATTAATATCCCATGCTGCAATGGTTTCTCGTGCCTTGAAGGACCTGTAGACCCCAGTGAGCTTATCCTTGTATATACAGGAGTAAAACAGGACCATTGTCACGGGGCATAGTGAGGACTCAAACACAGACAGTCAGGTTTAGTGAAAAAGCTTTTAATGATAACCAAAAACAAACAGGGAATCCAGGGACAAGACAAAAGACCAGGGGGAAAATCCGGCAGGAAAAGGCAGAACAGGCAGACTGGAAAACCAGGAACAGGACGAGCAAAACGGGCGGGTAGGTCGGAAAACAAACAATGATCTGGCAGTGGGTGTGTGCGCGTGAGCGGCAGGGGTTTAAATAGTGAAGGAGGCAGAGTGAGCAGGTGAGAGTAATGAGCTGAGTGTGACTGGCAGGTGCACTGAATGAACTGATCAGGTGAGTGAGGAGCTACAGAAAGAAACAAAAGACACAGAACACACGGGGCAAAGCCTGATCGTGACAACTATAGCCTATTTTTGATTATGATGAGCTGAGAAAATCGTTGGCTTAGACAGTGTATGTCAGGTGTACAGTTTGGAAACTGTACACCTTTTCTCCAAAGCAATTTCATGCCATTTTACTGTCTGAATAAATGTTGCTACCCTGATCCTTGCTCTTTCTTCATTGTTCCCAAATGAATCAGATTGAAGGAGTTTTTTCACAGCTTGTCATAACAGGAAAAGCACAGGTGGAACGAATAACATGAATTATGGCTCCATTGCAGCAATTATAGCAATGCAATGCAGTAGGACAAATTAATGTTATCAGTTACACCTGTTTAAAGCTGTCTGTAGTAAAAAAAAGACCTATTCAGGTTTAGTTTAACGCCACATGTACCCCCCTGGATACATGTCCCCTGCAATTGTTCTGTATGCTGAGTGTCTTCTTTACATCACATAACATCGCTGCTATCCCTTTATACTTGTATTACAGCTACAACAACACAACTCTGACAAAAGCAGTTTTCAAGCATGTTTCGAATCCACACAGTCTATTGAAATAAGTCGGGTAGAAAAGTACTGCTTGAAATAGACAAAAACATGCAAAACAATAGCATGGTTCTTCAAATCATACTTAAATCTAAACTTGAAAACATGCAACACCTGTAGGACGTTTTGGCTACATGATCAATTCAAAAATGACAAATTTTAAGATATAGGCAACAAGCCTATACAGTGTAACTCCGAACTGTATATCTTGATAACAATTTGTGTTTATAAATTGCTTCCTAAAATGGTCAGTCTCATCATGTGACTTCGTACATGGGGTCTGACGGGATGGAGGAGGTGACTTGTTCATAGCTATAGAAGTTCATACATAATGCACTGTTAGGTGCATGATGTCATGGTTTAAGTCTGCTGCTGATTTGGCGTACAACTCTCACTTGACGCCCTGCGCCATGTGCTCCGTCGCCGGTTGCTAAACGATGAGAGGATAATCCTGTTTTGGGGGATAAATAAAAGAGTGAGTATTCAAAAACGTATTATAAAAATGGATGATGCAAAGCTAGAGGCAAATTTCCCCCCAGATAGTTCCAGTAAAATGCAGGTGGAGTGGAGCACTTTGGGGAATGAAAGGGAGGAGAGCATCCTTCCCCGTTGTTCTTGCTGCGGCGTAACGCATGGGTAAAGTTGCTTATTTTTGGATGCACGGGCTGGTGTTTGTGGACCTGACCACCGGTGTTTTGTGTGCGTTTGGGAATGAGACGTGATGTGGGTTGGTCCTCCGAGCAGTGCGACAGTGAAATGTCTCACGACGAGTATCTTTAAGACAAACACCGCGCGTCCAAGCGAGGTGGAGAAAAAAAAGGAGGGGGGGGACAGCAGAGGCAGACAATGCGGTTCTGCGATGCGTTTATTCCTCCGTACAATTTACGCCCACATCCACGATAACATGTTGTCAAGAAGCTGTGGGAGGGTTCCTCGTAATTTGGCTAATTTTCTTTATTTTTAATATTGGATTGACCAAAATTTCCTTACGATTTGATTGAGAACAAAAATAAAGATGAAATTTCCAATAGAAAACCCAAGGAAACAAGTTAACTGGGACCCCGAACAAGGTTGGTGAATACTGCTTTCTTATATACTGTCTGATAACTTTGGATAGGCTATGTCATTTAATGGACTACTCCTAATCTCAGCACCAGCTCATAGATGTAGTCTACATGAGGCACAATCAATTACAAGATGCTGCATTATTCCCAGGCACGTTTTTTTTTATACATTATTTTGTTCATTTGACTTTGTGTGTTTACTCTTATTCTGTGTTTCTATTCTGCAAAAACGAGACAAAGCGGTTGGAGGTTATTTCTTTATTCTCCATTCTCTGTGTACTCTGTTGTGCAGAGCAACGCTGCTGGAAGCAGAGCTTCAACCACTCCAAGTAGACAGGAACAACCAGGGAAATATGTCTAAAATAAAAGCACGTAAAGTTGTTGTCCAGAGATTGGGACCGCCAGACACGGGTTTTTTTAGGAGACGTAGCTGGTCACTCACGGTGGTTTATTATACGTAATGAATTACACAGCACATAGGCTGTGACCCTTCAGCTGTGCTCCCTAATATTACAAAGATGGATATTTTTTACGTATTTAATTTTTATTTCAATTAATTGTTCAATTTTACTGTGAGATAAATAGTCAGATTAATCGACAGAGGCTTATTGAAACGTCCGCATTAAACGTTTTTATTTTATTTTGAAATTAGTCTTTTCCGGAAGTGTGTGATTCAGGCTAGCTTGACACTTGATTTTGAGTCTCATCTGGTGAGTTAAATACCTACAATCTGTCTAGTACCATAGGGCCCAAGAGCCGACCTGAGCCAAACCAAAAGCTGCCCTCATGTTTATCATTAAGTCTCGTTTTGTATTTTGTTCATCAGTGGGTAAACGATGCTTTGTACACACAATATGCAGCGGACATGCTGAAATGTTGACAAACTGAGTGTTTCCAGTACACCACCACAACTGTGCCCACTAAACAGTGTCGTAAATGCTTAATGCAACATTTTATTACCATCATCTAAATCGTCATTAGCATCCACATATTTGGTTTCCATTCTTTTATGGACCTGAGTCTCCGGTGGCACATGCTGGAAACAGAGAGTGAGGGCTGAGAGAGAGAGAGAGAGAGAGAGAGAGAGAGAGAGGGAGCATATCAGATACTATCAGATAAAAAGCACTGCTTTCCACTCAGGCCTTATTTAATTTGCAAAAATCAATATGAAGCAAATTCAGCAGTCGGAAAAGGATTTTAAATGAATGCCACACAGCCTCAACAATATGAAATGCAACGCAAATTATTTTCATCACAATTTTGATTTTGCCAAACTTAGATATATACATATATTCTTTTATTTATGATTGTAAGACTTGTAGTTTTTTGCACGTAGCTGTACTAAAGTCAATGAAGTCCAGCTTTCTGAACTATCTCACAGTGTATATCTGCAGCTGCCGAGCTGCACAGAGCTGATTTAATCAATTTCCCTCATGCATAAGATGAGATGAAAGGCAATTAATGTCTCAGTAAGACTTATGGACTTGGTTCAATTTGCAATTCATTTATCAGTAGATGTTCAACTGCATCCGTCAACATGACTGCACCAAATACAGAAGGTGATATTGATGTATGGTTGTATTCTTTCTGCTGCTTCATCTCTGAATTTTCAAATTCATCCCATGCTCTAAAATTAGCCAGCCACCACACTTAAAGTAATGTACCATGAATTGAAAGTGGCAGTTTTGCATCTTCCTGAGCTGTTGCCATCACTTTGCTGTTATTAATTCACTCATGATTCTCACTCAGGCATTAACAAGATTCATAGCTCTTGGATCAGACAATGACACACACTTCCTGGATGCCCTTGACTCATCAGGGTGGGACATGTGCATTCAATTTACTTAGCATATCCCACAAGTGATCCTATCCCAATCAACAAAAGAGAGCCTCTCGAGAACATATCCATTTTGAATTCCTATACGAGAGTTGCATCATGGTAAACAACAGGCTCCACCCATGGCTCTGAGGCACGGCATGGCTCTCAGCTCTCCAGTCTGAGAGAGAAGGGGGCATCGGGGGTGAAGGCCGAAGCTCTGAATAGCTCATACAATGCTTCATACACATTAAAGGAATCTAGATTTGGCTGCCTCCTCGATGCTGCTTGCCACTTGGTTGACCTGCTTTAGCACCCGTGCTTTAAACCAATCCAGAAGCCAATGACTGAAAGTGGCACTTATCCCTTCCTCTCTTACAGTCTATTACAAAAATGGACTCCTGCTTCTCGGTAAAAGGATAACTCAATTTTCACCTCTACCTAGCAATAATGGAAGGGGTTTGTTTAAAATGGTGTGTTTTTTAAATATTTTCTTTCTTATTTTGCCATATTGTGCATGTACATCCATGTAATATACGTACAGTCATTTTATTATTCACCCTTATTCATGTTTTTTCAGGTTTTTAATTCATTACAATGAGGCTTCATTTAACAGGAAATATAGCTAGAACCCAAAAGTTCTCAGCATGTGAAGATGTTGAGATGGCAGCATTGACACAGCTGTAGGCCAGTTAACAGGCCTTTTAGCTGATAGCTTTCAGTGTCTGCTTTGTGAAGAGCCCTTTATTAGTTCAGAGTAATAGATGGAAATCACTTCCTAATGCTTCTTGCAGCCGGCTATAGGTTTTCAATGGCTGTAGCGAGCTCGAGTTAATGTCCTCAGTGTTCAGTGTGCAAGACAGACGTGCTGGTACAGCTGCTGAGTCCAAACCAGTGCTGTGGTTTCCAAGGACGCACTTTCAAATTATTCATACATTTATTCATCAACATTTTGAGCTCTTCCTCAGGTACAGAGTTAGGCAATCCATTTTGATACCTCAGTGCCTGATGATTTGGGTTCGTAACATAGAAAAGTTGTATAGTTGTACTTTTTTGTTGTTAATCTTTCATTAACGAGCGTCCCTTTGCTGTCACTGTATTGAACATGCAAGCTAAATGAAAGCATAAATGGGGGCAGAAAACGCTGTAGTTAAACTCATTCCATGCATTCGTTTTATTGCACAGATTATTTGACAAACGTATAAGGATTTGTAAACGCATAAACATTGTGTAATAATTTCAGACTCACTTAAAAAGCCTCAAAGACTGCCGACAAAACAACATCTCAGAACAATTTTTCTCAACACAACACCTTTCTTCACACATTTTTCACATCTAGTCTGTAACAGATTCTGGGCCTTCAGCCAAGAACGGTCTGTTAATTTTCACTCCAGAAGATCCAGAATTGCTGTTTCTGTCTTGGTATCCTCCAACACGAAGCTAAACAAAACCTCAATTAATCTGGTTTTCCTTTTCCTCTGACTCTTTCCTAGTGGCGGTCCAGACCAACTTGGTCCCTCCCAAAAAGGTCCAGTCTGGCATGACGAAGTCAAGTCTAGTCCAGGCCAGCGTGGCCACCATGCAGAACCCCATGGGCTGCGACCCTAAGGCCAATGGTCATTGTCCACTCCCACGCCTGTCCATCTCCTCCCGTTCTGCCAGCGTGGTAGCCAGCATGGACGCTAGCTGTGACGGCATGGCCGCAGCACTCCACTCAGTGATGAAGTGGAAGACGGTGCTGGCGGTGTTCATCGTGGTCGTTCTCTACCTGGTTTGTGGAGGTCTGGCATTCAGGGCACTGGAGCAGCCGTTTGAGAGCAACCAGAAGAACAGTATCACTCTGGAGAAGGCTTTGTTCTTGAAGAGACACCACTGTGTTACTCCTAATGAGCTGGAGGCACTCATCAAGGTGAGTGATTGGAGGTGGAGATTAGCTTTTGGAGTTTTTAGATGAAGCGAGACATGATATTCCCATCAGACCCTTCTCCGTCCAGCTGCTCAGACATCCCTGGAATAGTACATTGCATTTGTTCAATCTTTTCATCATTGACCAGATACATTTATAACAGGATTAGGAAGATAAGATGAAATGAATGAAAATGATATGATGAATAATTCTGAGTGTCATTCAATTTGATTGGTAGATAAAAAGTAGAAAGTGAGACAAATGACCTTTGTAGCAGCAGTTTTCTAGCTGGTGATAGCGATCAGGGGTAATTAGAGGCTCTCAGGCTAATTAATTCTGGTTTCATTAGCTTGTCGCATGATCTTCAAAAGCCTGAAAGCTACTTCTTTTCATGTCCAGATTGTCCTTCAGCAAATTAAGCCTTCATCGACTGCTGCAGAATTTTACAGAATAATAGCTCACGTCCACATAAAACCTGCTATGCAACTACATCTGTGAAGTTTGTTTTAATACATAACAAATGCTGAGTGAAGAATTTGGACTCTTTAGCGGACTCATTTAGAACAGTATTGATTTCAAAGATTATTATTATTATATCTATGATAAACTATCTTGACTTAAGTTGGCTTTAATTGATATTTTTCATAACAACAATTTATGAAATATCAATGGGAAAACAATTGTTCAAGTGAATAATAATGTTGCTCCTTAACTGCTATGTCAATGTTGTGTTCACAACATGTTTCCGCTGCCCACAAGTGGTAAAACAAATCAGTTATTGCAGGTTTAAAGCTTCCCTTACTAGCCCATGGTCTTCATCAGCCAATGGAACAGCTCAGGGTTCATCACATCACCATAGTGTGGAACGTCAGCCACGTGACAACAAGCGCTGACGATGACACCTGTGTCTGTTCCATTCATTAAAGAAGATTATGACATGCAGATGAAAGTTCAGAAAAAGCTAGTAAGTCAACCTCTGAGTTGAGACCAAGGCCTACAGGTCAAGAAAGAACCTTGTTGGTGACTAGTCTTTTCCTCAAAAATGTATATTTATGGCTTCAGGCATCATTATTGCAGATTATGTAAGCGTGAAAAACTGGAACTGAACTGAAACACCTCAGTTCTAAGTTTGTTACAGAGTGGTTGTACCTGTTGCTTTCAGTTTTCAAGTCTGTTGCAAACGTTAGAAATGATTGTCAGCTCTCAGTACTCTGGATTGTTGTATTGGACTTCTTTATTTTTTTTTCTAGTTTTAGGGGTTACAGTGAACTCAGTCAGAACTTCTTCACTAAAAGAGTGTTGTCATTGCACTAATAATGCTGATTTATAGACATTATATATAGTATGTGTATAGTGACTAAAGCACTATCATAAGATACTACTCTCTCCCACCCTGGATGAGGACAGTTGATGGGTAAATGTCAAGAGCAGACTTAGAGGCAGGTCACTCCTTCAGCAGGAAGCACATTAATACCTTCAGGGTCACCACAGAGATGCCCATAATTCTCAGTGACACTTCACATCTGTTGGCAAACACACTGTACAGTACATACGAGCACATGCAGTTTTATGTTACGTAACACGACGGTAAAGTAATATTGGAAGAAAAGGGCAAAAACGTGCCTTGATGTTTATCCTGAAGGAAAAGATCAGTCAGCATGACCTTTAAGCTGTATCACAGCTGCAGAGTGGAGAATTGGGAATTGTGTCTTCAATTCATATGCAAACCTACATTATGTATTACAATAGCATGATAGTCAGTTGTTTTGGATGGATGGATAGATTGAATGGATTCAATTAGTGTCCTGTAAACAAGGGTTACAATTACCTTACTGCCACACTCCTTAGATTTCTCAGCAAGTGGAGACACTGCTGGGCTTTCTAGTACACAGAGTCGGTGTTCTGGGAAAAGGAGAAGGAGGTGTCTATCTCCGTCCCAAGGTATTGAAAAGATGGTACTTGTTGTAGCAGCTGGCCTTCGATACTGAGGGGTTGCAAAAGAGGTTGTTGTTGTGAGTCTGGTTTCTCTCGGCTCCCACAGCACAGCTCCCTTGTCTTGGTGATGTTGCGCTCGAGGGAGCTTTCCTGAAATGTCTGCCTGATGGTATTCAGACAGAGCATTGGTGCCGGTAGTGCCATGTCATGGGCGTGCTTTCCTTCACTGGAGCAGGAGATGCTGGTAGTGTAAACAGAGAAAAGAATAAGGGATAAAACACTTAAGGGGAGCCCTGTGTTTAAAATCAACTACAAAACTATTTATAAGCGCCTGTTGTTGCCTGTCCTGTCAAAAAGTCTTAATCCAAAAAAACAGTGCCGGGTTGACCTGAAGCTCCACTAGGCGGTGCAATAAGGTGTTTGTGTGTATTACAAGCAGAGGACAAAGTCATGAATACAATCTGAGGGTGTGGGGAGTCCAGGTGTCTAAAAGAGTCAGACTTGAATCCTTTGCCGCACATCTTGCCTTGTGGGTAGTGTTGGGAGCTCCACCCATCATAATGTTTAACCCCTGTCATGCCTCCTTTGCATTTCCAGACATTAGTTTCCACTCCACCTGGTCTTTGGCCAACTTGGCCTTCAGTCTGAACTCTCTCTTAATTCCTTCACAATGAGCTTGTCTCCTTCTTCTGAACCAGGCAGATTTACATGTCCTTGGTGATCCATTTCTTGTTGTTTGGATGAAGAGCTATTTGTTTGGTGGGAGTGCAGTGTCCTCACAGTATGAAACATGAGAGGTTATTGCATCGTTCAGGAAATTAAGATCACCACCACAATCGTTGAAAACGAACTCCCAGTCAGTCAAAACAACCCCTTAGTTTTTCATTGGTCTCTTTATTTAGAAATATATCTGAATGCCTTGTACCCTCCATAATAGATGTATGAGTACATGGAATTCCAGAGGGAGGCTTTAACAACACCCACACGTTTTAAATAAGGAAACTTGCTCCCGGCCACAAGAGCACTGTTGTCTTTAATGTAAGAAACATTTGAAGACAAGTTTCTTTATGTCTTCTACCATAACTGAGTGTGTTGTATCTTCTATTTTAACAATACATTTAGTCAAACTTAGAGGTTTGAAAGATCAAAGACTATTTCAGCAGCTGAGAGACCCTGATACTTAGTCTGTCTGATCAAAAAATGAAATATTGCATTTATAAATAAGAATGATTAATTTCGATCTCAGCTAAAAACATGACTGACAACCCTTAAACTGTGGTTAATTCAAGCTGACCTGAAGCATGCTGTTTTTGTTTCACATGTTACCAACATGTCATAAGAATATTTTATTCTCAACCAATACCCGAACTGGACCAGATAACAAACAGCTCGTGAAAAAAAAATCATTCCCATGCCACCATGACTTCACTGCGCATGTCTTTTTATGGTGTCAGCTGCTTTGTCGCACAGGGAATGTGGCTGCTTTCACACATTATAGGTGGAGATTTAAGGTCACTACGTCGCGCTGACATGTGCAACTGGAAGCGGGATTGGAAAATAATTTGAGATGTGCCGGCGTGCAGTTTGCCGAGTGGAAAGTTTGATTTGTGAGGGAATGCATGATAGAAGAAAAGCAGGACTGAGATCAGTCAAACACTCCTTTGCAGAAGATGTTTAAAGAAAAGAGGAGTATTCTGCAACAATATTTCTTTGGAGAGTAACTGGTTTGCGACACAAAGATCAAAGGGAAAATCCCTTTTACCAACTGTAGTACCCAATTAGCAGTATCTTGCAGAAAACATATGGTAATACGGCAGATCTTGCAGAGCAAAAACAGCCTTTTGGGAATTATGTGCTTTCCATGTTTTTGTAGTTTGAGAATAGTAAATACAAGATTCGCGTTAGTGCCACAGTGGACTCCTCCTATTATCTTGAGCTTGAAATAACCCCAAAGAGAGAACCGACCCCATGGCATAGTGCGCTCCACTTTCAGCTCGAATGGCTCCATTCGACGGTAGCTTCTTCAACACTGCTCCAGTGAATATTGGATTGTCTCTCTCACCTTCTCCACACCCACGTTTGTTCCATTATTCTTTCTCGGAGAAGCATCATTTCTTCTTCTACTTTTTCCCTTGCAGCGCTTACCTTTGAACCACAAAAGTGCTATCATGAGTTTGTAGAAAAAATAAATCAATAACAGTATTTCCTCAGGAGACGTGTGGAAATAAAACCTTTAGCATGGTGTGCCTGTGGTCCTGAGGGAATCAATTATTCATTGCACGGGCCAGCAGTCACAGACCTCCTGCTGCTCGAAACAGCAGCACTAGTAGCAGCAGCTGAATCATAGACAAGACTGTCTCCCGCACAAATGATCAGATTCAGACACAAGACATAACGTATGATGGCGTGTCTCACCACGTTTTGCCAGAACAAATTTACAATATTTCATCTGACAAATAATAAAAAAAACAGTTTGTCATGTTGAGATATACACTTTTCTGCAAAGAATTAGATGAGAGCATCAATGCCAATTTTATGTCTATACAGTATGTAAAGCTACCACCAGCTGCTTAGCTTAGCACAAAGACTGGAAGCACAAGTAAACAGAAAACAAACAAAAAAATCTGCCAACTGGCACCTATAAAAAGTTTTACAAATATAAAAAAATTCGTTCAAAAACCAGAGTGTGAAAATAACAGGTTGTGGTTTATGTGCCAGACTATTTTCGAGCTGGAAACAGTGACTTAGCCTCCTGTTAAACCCCAACTTGTCGTTTTTACATTTCTGTTTGTGTACAGATTAACCTAATGATATGCAATGGTTTAAAAGCTTTAGAGGTGCTGGTAGGCATATTTTGTTATGACAGAGGTAGGCGAGCTGTTTCCAGTCTTTGTGCTATGCTAAGCTAACTAGCTGTTGAATGTTGCTTCATATTTACCGTACAGGCTTGAAAGTCGTATTCTTAGTTAACTCTTTGCAAGAAAGTGCATTTCCCAAAATGTCAAACTATTTGAAAAAAATAGAACGATTATCATTATCATGTGTGAAACTCAAACCAACAAATGGCCTCAAGAAAAGGCCTTCAGGACATGTTTCTTCACAAGTACTCCATCAAATAGTCTGTCTGGTTTTGTTGTTCTGTTCTGTTATCGGTCTGTTCGTACTGTGTCAAGCCTGTCACTCAGACAAAAGATTCTCTGTGGCGACACAGCAGTGGTGACTCACTGTCGAACTGTTTAGCGGAGGAGTTGACAAAAAGAAAGGCAACTTTGAGAAGCGTGTGTGTGTACAGCGTGTGTGTGTACAGCGTGTGTGTGCGTGAGGTGGCAGAAAACGATATATATAGTAAAGCTTTGCTACACGGCCTGTGTTGACGATGTGTATCTGGGTCCATGCACGTCTGTTGACCTCCTTGCGTCTGCTATATCTGTGCTGCCCACCTACCCACTGCGCGCCCACAAAGGCAGCAGACCTAATTGGCTTTTCCTGCGCCCTCGGGATGACTCACACTTTGGCGCAATGTGAAGCCGCGCTGTTATTGACACCAGTCAAGCCTCATTTATTTATGACTCACTTATCTGGAAATATACTTTTACAAACACTGAGCTACCTGCAGGAAATCCACGTCAGGACACGCAACCAATGTCCTAATGTGGTAAGTAATGTGGATTCAGCTCCTCGGAGGTCTTCACAATGTGCACCAAAAATGTATACGACAGGTGTACATTATAGACCCTTATGTCTTCAAATGGCTTACCACAACATGTGTAGAGTGTAACGTAGTGCATTTACTCATTTAACTGAGAATTGAAAGTACTTGATTTCCATTTTATGCTATATGTAACATTCCTCCACTACATTTAAGAGCTTTCTTTTACTCCACTACATGTAGTTGACTATGGGTTTTACATACAAATAAACCCTAACAATATATGAAGTAGTTAAAATGAGGTGAGCTTTCTGGTAATGCTTCTGTGCTTCTTGTCCTTAAGTAAGACTTTATGTAGTATAATGGAGTATTTGTCCACTGGGATAATTCTACTTTGACTGAAGTAAAAGATCTGAGTACATTATCAGTACTCCATTTCTGTTTTGAATCAGTAAGTCACAACTGTAAAAACAGGCAGATTGTTTTTGCTAAAAAAAATGAATGCAATAGGTTTATATCAAAGTCTGATTTTGTTTTTCTTCTGCTCACTTCACAAACAGTCCAGAATCGTCCTATTTGGCAGTCATTTGTACGGCTTTAATGCTCCAAGGTGGTTCAGGCAAAGTGATGGTGAGTGTGCTGCAGAGGAGAGTGCTTGGCACCATGCTGGCTGGATCACTGCCGTCACCTGCTGTGGGGCAGAAAGACACTGAGAGGATAAAGATCTGTAGAGAGTTAGCTGGCTCTCGATTGATCCTGAAGTGTAGAATATGAAAACAGACATATGTCTGTGTGCTTATTCTTCTGTGCAGTCAAAAGCACAGAGGAGAGTCATATTTACCGTACAGGCTTGGCAATGAGGAGAGCCCCTGTGAAACGAAAACACCATTTGTCGTCCTAATTAACACTCTGAAACACAAATCAAAGTCAGCATCCTCGTGCCTCAAAAGTGTCTGGGGAGAAGGAGGACTTTCCACATTTCTAATGCAGTGTGAACTTGGCTGTGAAAAAGAGGAGAGACAGAAATAGACCTTCGCATGAAGTATTCAGATGCATTATGAGGCTATTTTTAGCTCTCCCTTGACTCCAGATTGAGGCTATTTGGGGTTTATGATATAATTACCACTTTGATATTACCCCACAAAGTAGCTGAATCTACTAAAACCTGTGAAAAATCATTACTGTAATTGGCTAATTTTAGATTAGGGAGGCTGAACTGATGGAGGTGAGGAAAGCACATGCAGGATCAAGAGTATTTGAAATGTATGTCACGAGAGTTGATACATATTTTATTAGATGGACGTATATCTCTCTAACAGCTTGCAGGGATATATTGGGGGGTTGCCCCGAATGAAAATGAAAACCAGGAATGTTGGTAAATGCACCGAAGCTATTTCCCAAAGGCATCCCTCACTTTCATTTCAGCAGAAGGGATGTTTATTTGAGCCCAGAGGTAAAATTCTAACTATTCTTTTCCACGAAGATAAAATGCCCATAAACAGGGAATTCAGCAAGAACACACAATAGTAGATTAACTTTTCATTGCCACATTATGGAGCTCAGAAGGAGATCATTGAGAACAATGATGCAGTAAACGAGAATTGCGGCTTCCTAGTGTTTTCCCTTGAAAAGCTGGAGATAAAAACAAAGCTTAGGGACTAAAGAAAAAGGCTGACACAGCGGAAAAGAGCGATAAAGGGCTCTCTGTTGCAAGTGAAAGTCCATGTAGATTTAGTCAGCATGAAATGTAAAGACATGCAAAGTGGGTAAGAATTTAGAGTGGAGAAATGGCTCCAAGTGGAGAGCAGGCCACTGAATAATGTGAACACATCTCGTGCTAGATGTTCGTGCATATACTGTACCTACTGCATGTCCGCAGGAGGAGTAAAACTAAAACTTCTTCCACATATTTTTTACTTCAGACAGCGGATATTTTCATGAACAAATACAAAAGACCATACTCGAAGACTGTGGTAGCCAACATGTGGGTTTGGACTGAGAGGTAGCAAGAAAACACATTTCTGCTGCAAAACTTGCCTTTTTCTCGTGAATCACAAAATAAAGCAAGGAAAATCTATTTATAGTTGAACTGGTCACAACCCTCTGCCCTCTGACATATGTTTCTAGAAACTTCATTTTAAGGAGTCACAAGCCAAAAGGTTGAGAACACTACTCTGGTTATCTAGGGCTGGGAAATATGGCGGAAACCATGTGTGCATATGCGAAATGTAATAATATTGGACAGATCTAATCAATTATGACCGCATCCACTTGGCTCTACTTGTAATCCAGTTTTGTGACACGGGTGTAGGATTAATCTAATCTATAATATTGTCATTTATACATGTTTCTCTTTCCAGCATGCCATAGATGCTGTGAGTGCTGGAGTGAGTCCTATTGGAGACACATCATACAATTCCAGTTACTGGGACCTGGGCAGTGCCTTCTTCTTCGCTGGAACTGTCATCACAACCATAGGTAAACTTTTAAATAATCCACTCTTGAATGCCCTTATACCAGTTGAATATGCAATTGTTATGCTGCATAAGGTATTATCACAGACGTGTGACCGATTCATTAGATTGTATTCTAATGTTGATGGCAAAAATCACTAAAATGGTAAATTATCACAAACTGCACAAAGATTACCCACGTGGCCAGAAACTGTGGAAGCCCAAAGTGTTCAATTTTAAATAAATAAAAAAACACATTATCATATCAGTAATTACATATATAAACCATGCAATAGATATAAATGAACCAGATATTTTATTTTTGAATATCAGAAGTTAGAAAACATTAACTAAAACCTCCAGCTTCAAGTCACATAACCGTTTTTTTCTCCGAGGACTCTTCATTGTATCTGTGTCACTGTAGGGCCATAATTAATGCAATTTTCTCCAAGGGGAACCTAATTATTGTCTCTCTAGGAGCTTATTTGCTACAGGAACTAAGAAGCATGACATATTGACTTCAATTGATTATGTTGCATAAGAAAGTCTTGATTGTCATCTTACTCTTAACACTCCTCATCCTCCTCCGCCTCCTCTTCACCACGTCTTCTCTGCCATGTTTCTTCACAGTTTTTTTTCTCCTCTGCTCTTCCTCATGTTTTCCTTGTTTGTGACAGGTTATGGAAACATAGCTCCAAGCACGCAGGGCGGGAAAATCTTCTGCATCCTTTATGCCATATTTGGCATCCCTCTCTTTGGCTTCTTGTTGGCGGGGATTGGGGACCAGCTGGGCACCATCTTTGTGAAAAGCATCTTGAGGGTTGAGAAGATATTCAGGGTGAGTTGCAAGTCTAAGCTACTTTCTAATTCTCTTTTATTCATATTTGCCACTTTTTTTCCAATGGTATGTTTACCCCTTTCAGATTTGTTTCATTGAGAGTCTGGTATTACTTCCTTTGGGCACACTATCCCTCTTAGATCTTTTCTTTTGAGCCGTTGCTTGCATTGTTCTAATATCATCTCCTGTTTGGTTTTCTCAGCAAAAACACAAACAGATCAGCCAGACTAAGATCAGAGTGACGTCCACCATCCTGTTCATTCTGGCTGGCTGCATTGTTTTTGTCACCATCCCTGCTGTCATCTTTAAACACATTGAGGGCTGGACCGCACTGGAGGCCATCTACTTTGTTGTGATAACACTCACCACAGTGGGTATAGGAGACTATGTGGCAGGTAGATCTATGCGAGGGACTGTCGTTTCTGTCATGATGTAGATTACTGTTTTGTCGAACTATCTTGACTTATTTTTGGTACTTTTCCTTCCCCTGCAGGTGGTGATAGCAGGATCGACTATATGAAGTGGTACAAGCCTCTGGTGTGGTTCTGGATCTTGGTGGGTTTGGCGTACTTTGCGGCCGTCCTCAGCATGATTGGAGACTGGCTTCGAGTACTGTCTAAAAAGACCAAAGAAGAGGTGAAGTTCCTTCGATTACACTGCTCAGTATTAACTTAGAGAGGCAGAACATTTAAGGTCATCTGAGTTACTGCCTCCTCTGCATCTGCTCTCTTATTTGGCTATGAATTGCTGCTTCAATTTTTGCCAAAATGTTCTGTGTCCAGACAGAAGACACAGAAGAGGAAAATATGTACAGGGCTTGCATAAACAAGATAGCCTTTGTCAAAAGCTTCAATCACATATTTTTTGTTGATTTTGAAGTCCCTGAAAACTTGGTTTAGTGTTTAGCGTCATATATTCATGATCAAATAAGCAGCAATCAAAGTTAACGTTTGGATTGAGTCCATGAGGACTGTGTGGTTGTGTTTTGATCACATTTGATGGACGTTGATTCAAATGTTGCTAAAGACTACATGGTGCACACAAGTATGTGACGCCACCTTTATCAAACTCATCCCTGGCCACTTCAAACCAGTGAGAAAATCAGAAATCTAACGTGTGAAATAACCCAAACTGTTCCCAGATTGTGTTATTATTTAGGACCCCATCACTTATACTAACAAGGTGACTGAGATAATGGTTTTCAGGGCCTTCAAGAACAATGACACAAGACGTGTTTCCATTCACATATTGTTATGCACATTTTGAAGTATCACGTTCGAAAGGCTGTATGGAAACGGCAAAAATAAAAAACAAAACCTTTTGTCTTTGTCACAAAAGGGTCGATGCACTAAATAAGATATGGAACATTAAACTCACATGAGTCATATTCCCATTACTTGTTTGTCTTCGTTTCCGGATAACATGAAACAAGACCAATACCAGCGGACATGAAAGAACAATTAGGACTAAATTAGCACTAAAAGCTCGTAGATGGCCACGCAGACTTGTCTTGTTTCCTACTTCTTCTACTCTGTTTACTGGCAGTTGACAGCCATGCAAGCCTATAGCGCTATCTTCTGACCCAACTACTTTGCAGAGTTAATTCGCACCAAACCAGTTGATGGAAATGCTCCTGATTTGAATTTCTTTTTTCTGCGACATTTTAAAAACGTTGCTTAAAATTAGCTTGACAATTGAATGGAAACACAGCCAATGTCTTTGCAGCTGCAGATTATGACCCCCATGTGCATTCAAGATCTGTTCCTAATCCTACTCTTACTCCTGCCGTCACAGGTTGGGGAGATTAAAGCTCATGCAGCTGAATGGAAGGCAAATGTTCGAGCAGAGTTCCGTGAAACGCGACGTCGTCTGAGTGTTGAGATCCATGACAAGCTCCAGCGGGCAGCCACCATCCGCAGCATGGAGCGCCGACAGCTCGGCCTGGAGCAGCGAGCTCACTCCCTGGACATGCTGTCTCCAGAGAAGCGGGCCTTGTTCGCCAGCTTGGATGCCGGCCGCTTTAAGACTTCCTCCCAGGAGAGTATCGACACCAAGCTCAACAACCTGAGGCTGAAGGGGGCCTGTGAGCCATACGACCATCAAGGGAGTGAGCAAACGCCACAAACGGCGTCTTCCTCTGAGGATAATCTCTTCAACCTGCGCTGCGGATCCCTCACCAAGCTGGCCAGACGCAACAAGAACCGCGAGCTGCGGAGGAACATTAATGACGATGTGCGACGGGCTAGTGTATGTGTAAACAATGGCAGTGCCATGCTGGGTGAGGAGAGGACGGAAGAAGAAGATGGGGAGCCAGATGAGGAAAACGGAGAAAGAAAAGAGGGAAACACCAGTCTGACAAACCTGTCACAAAACGCAATGGAGCGCAGCAAGTTGAATGAGTTCACACCAGTGCAGGCCAAAGATAGCGAACGACTAAGCATTGAATGGAAAAGTGCCTCAGAGAGAGAGAGAGAAACAGAGTGAAAGATAGAGACTGAGACACAGAACAAGAGTGCATGGACCTTTGAGATGTCAGTAAATGTGCCTTTCTGTTTCCTATGCTTAGATTGGAACTGCTCCCAGGAAATCCAGTCATCACGCCATAGCCATGGAAAGAAAATGTGTTGCCAAAAAATTGAAGAGACAGAAGAGGCTGCAGTTAAAATACGTATAGGATGTTACTGTAGGATGGGCAACTTAAGGAATTTCCTCTCTACAGGAGCTATCTTTTCAGCTTTGTTGTCTTTCAGCCTCGACTCTTGGCGCTTAAGAGACACTTGGGCAACGGCTGTCTGTTAATGTTGAATCTTATCTCCTAACAATGTGGGCAGGACACGCAGAGAGCTAGCTTCAGGTCATCCATCTTCAGAAACATTATGGCTCTCCGCTTCATCATCTCATACTGTGGTGGCTATTTTTAGCTCAGCTACCAAAGGACTAGAACGTTAAATGAATGGAGGGTGGGAGTTTTTTTTTCCGCTGGATCAATAGACAATACCAACACTTACCTGGGTGACATATACAATTACTCTTGGTATGTGACTTTGGAAATGCAGCCTAAGGGTATAAACTCTGCTACATACTAAGAGCTCATAAAAACAAACTAACACCTAGATTGTGCATGGTTATTAAAACAAAACCAGAGCAGTTAATTGACTTACTTGAAAGCTTGAAATGACAGCAGTAATAATGTTTATTTTTGTTTAAATAAAATGAAATGTGCCGCTTTCTTTCACATTTTGTAAAAAAAAAGATGTATTTCAGTAATGATTGCCAACATTGTGGATGAACACCGAGCTTCACCTGACAGACACATTTAATCACCTTTGGCCAACAGATTGTCAGCCATGTTGAAAACTCTTTTTTGTAAATGACATTCACTTTTATCACAAATGTCTTCAGACTTTTTAATTAATGAATGTGATGCTGTTGATTTTGTACTCATCAAGCATGTTTGCATCCGTGTTTACTCCTTTTTATATCAGCCAAGCACTTAAGTTCAAATTTCAATTGAACTGTAACGTATGAACTAAACATGTAATGTTTCTTTTTTCGTATTTCTTTTCTGAAACACGGTCAAACATTGTGGCTTCAATTGTCTTCACACTGAAATGTGTTTTCCTGCAGTTCCTAGAGGTTGACTCATTGAAATATTTGACACATTTCAACTTTATTTGCTTTTTACAAACAGGCCCTGACGCTACTACCCGACGCCTTCTTTACATTTTTGAAGAATTATTAGATTATAAAAAATTAAAGGCGAATTATACACACACTGGTTGTACTTGTAACCTGTTTTATCTGATATCCTTTTCATGACTCGACAAGTTTGTTGTGTACAGTTTTTTTTTTAATGAACAGATCACATTAAATGTAGTGAGTGCCTTTCTCCAGATAATAAACATGACAAAATAAATTGAAAAGGTGGTAATTGCTATTGCGCTGGCGAGGTACGTTAAAAGAGTATTACCTTTCCGAGGGCATTGCTACAAATTATATTATAACATAGGCCTTTTTCACAGCTGACAGTATAACGTGTCAGACTAGAAAAAGCACAGGTGTAACTAACATCATTATTGATGGCTTTGTTCACCAGTGAGCCATAAGCGTGCCAGCATGCACAGTAACAGGACCCTGAAACTGGAGCAGCTAAATGGGATTTAGTCAGCATTAATTTGATTATTACTATCATGAACCGTGTTTATAAAGATTTGCTGAGTGGTGGATGAAGGAGATGCCACACGTTACCATCGTTGAAGCTAATGTACTATCATCAGAGGCTGTACTACACAATGCAAAGAAAGAACCATGTAACTTTGTCCAGCTGCACACCTAGAAGAACCGCTATATTTGCCAGCTGGGTGGAATAAATGTTGAATTAGAGAGACTAATGTGTATGTGGCCAGTATGCAACCTGCTCTTAGAGGGCACGGGTTCCGGCCTGTGTTATTTTTGGTGTTTTTTCACACCCGCAAAATATTTTGGCACACATGAAATTAGCAGTTTTGAGATAAACGTGTAGTTATAAAACTGTTTCAGCTGTATTAATATTATTATTTTGGAGCCTAAACACAATATCTTTCCTTGTTAAACATGTATAGTCTTTAACTGGAAATGTTTAATGTTATTGAATTATGATCCATATAACACCACTGAATAAGAAATGGTTAAATTCGATAATGTAATTGATTTTTGGTGACAGACGTTCCTGTATAACATTGTAGACCAATGTGAAAATATTCTTTAGCATTTTATGTATAGTTTAATGTCATTATTCAAACATCTCTACAGTATATATATATATATATATATATATATATATATATATATATATATATATATATATATATATTCTAGTACTGGTATGGAACTGTTCTATCTATCTTTAGACCAGAAAAGTGAAAGATTAGACTTGTACTTATAGCTTTGTGATCAATAAGTCGTAACGGAAAAAAAAGATACCAAGGCACGCAGTGTTGCAAAAATTTAAAAAGTCTTTAATAAGTGAGCTGCGACTAAAAGAGTTTTAATTCCTCTTCAGGGCATGGAAAAACAAGTGACAGCTCACAGATAGACCAAGGGTAGCCCTGGATAATTTACACAGGTGCAGTCAAGCAGGTAGGTACGTAAATAATTAGGTTGATGAAATAAATAATCAATAACATATTCAAAGACATTCATACATAGAATTTTTTTTGAAATAATTACCCCGTGAATATATTTGCAGATATGAAACATGTGTCCAGTTCCTTATTCAGCCCCTAGCTTGAAGATCCAAAATGTTTCTGTTTGTAGCTGTCAGACTTTTTTTTTTCTTTTCTAAAAGGATAAGTGATCACGAGCCAGAAAAATAAATGCAGTAAAGGTTTCATAGGCTCCAAAACCAATACTATTAACTAGGCCTATACTAAAGCTAAGAAACTGAGGAGTCAAGATCTCCTGCAACAAAAACAAACAGAACCTGGAGAACAACAGAAGCCTTGTGACGCTAGAGCAAATAGATTAAAGCAAATCATCAACAATATGTTGTATATATGTCTTATATTTCTACTTTAAGTATGAGTATTTCTCCAGGTTATTTGTCTATGTATGAATGTCAATAAATATCAAATGTTATTGGTTATTTATGCTGGACTTGTTAACCTTAAAGATATTGATGCCTTGTAGAATTAACCTAATTATGTACACATATACCTGCTTGACTGCACCTGTCTCAATTATCCGGTGCAACCCTGATTGCAATTGACTGCAGCTGACACCAGCCTCTGTGAGCTGTCACTTGTTTTTACGTGCCCTGAACAAGACTGTGAGTTAAAAACGCAAAGCCCAATTGTTTTATGGATCTGTAATTTTTGCAAAGCAATGTGCTTTGGTATTATGTTTGGTTATGACTTATAGATCCCAAAGCTAAGTACAAGTCCAACCATTCTCTTCTCTGGACCCATATGTTGGATCCAAAGAGCACCTGGTTTTTGATATAGTGTTCGTGAAGTAGCACTCCTCAGCCAAAAAATAAAAGGAATGAAGACAATAGATATCACACAAAGACACGGCAAATGCTCTCAATTTACTGAGTTTATTCAAACAATATATCAAAACTTTAGCCTCACCATAAAAAAAAAACATGATATGAATTAGCTTTGATGCAGTGTTTGGGTAATTAAACGACAGAATTCATTATTATGTAACTGAGGATGCTGGAGTCCAAGGTCTCCGTCCGTGCTAAACTCGGTGCCACAGTCACGTGTGTCGTAATGTGTGTTTGGCACCAAGAAAAAAAAAAGACCCAGCTGACAGCCCCACAAAAGAAATTAATCAGGGAGACAGGTTAGTAGAGGCAGGGCTATAAATTGCATGGAATAGAAGGGGCGTGTAGCCAGGAGAGTCGTCACTGCCAAGATGGCGACGTCCAGAGCCTCTAACTTTGAGCTTAACCGTGGCTCTTCAGAAACCCATGGGTGAGGTCACAGACACTACGTCTATATTTTTATACAGTCTATGGTCATACAAAGCAATGTACTTATAGACATGTAAACATACATCTGCTTCTCTCTCTACCTAATTATCTCCCACTCATACAAAGGCACCGTAATTGGTGGCTACTCGCATCTGATTGCACCCAAAGGCCTCCTTTTATAACTGGTCACGGTTAAAATTGAGAAGGAAGAGTTTGACCTCGACGGAATGTTTTCTATTCATTACCTCCATAACTTCCTTGTGTGAAAGACTGCATCTGTCTCATTGGCACATGCAATTTTATGTGCAGTTTAGATTAAATTGCAGATTTTACGAGATATTGAGTTGCCATTTGTATGCAACAGAAAAAACTCATCTATTCATTTGAGACTGTGACAAAGCATTTTCATCCATCTGGCCTTCATAACGCTCCGTTTGCTCGTGTGAGAGAAACTGAATATTCCTTTCTTGCAACTTCTCTGATGCCAAAAAGCATCTTTTATGGCTTCAGTTATTTTTCTGGCATACTGACTGAATAATAAACATTAACTGATGTCAACTATCAGAGTGTTGTAGCTTTACTGATTTTTATAAAGCCATTAGAGCGGTGTGCAATTTATCCAGAGGGCAGCTGCAGAATCACAAATTCATCTATCAAGAATTATTTGAGTGTGCTTCTCCCAGAGGATGGCCCTGCATGCATGAGCACACATCCTACCTATTTTATAGTCTACAAGTGCTCTTAAATAAAGTTAATCTCAGTGAAAGCAGCCATAGCTACAACATAAAAAAAATCACTCAGATTTTTTTTTAAAGTGTGAAGGGTATGAAAAAAACAGCTTACAGTTGCAAATAGAACAAGTAGAGGGACTGTAATAGTGAATCTTCCAACTTCCACTTACTTTTAAATGTGTTCAAAATGGCACAAAGAAGGCCTCTGTGAGGGTTAACTAATTTCCTATGTTTGCACATCTTTAGTCATGAAGTAACAGACAATTATGCACCCAAAACCACAGCTCTTTTTTGACAGCAATTGGTCGTGGCTCCCTCTTGTTAGTATAACTGGGATCAGAGGTCTACTTTGCTGAACTTTGATGTAGCGTGACTCACCGCAACTGTAGGTGGGATTGACCTTGTGGTTTCTCCAAAATTCAAAATGGAGGACGTATTGTTGCTACTTGAGGTAATCCCCGAAACACCAAAAATCATCCTAAAGGCTAAAGGGACGAAAGAGAAAGAGCAAAACGGCCGTTGCATGATAGAAAAATGTAATTTTACAATTAACTAGTACTGACCTGAATCACTGGCTGAAATACTACCGCAGTGTAAATATACCCACCATAATTCAACCCTGTTAATTCAGGTCTGAATGAGATGTTAGCGCGCACCCAACATTTAGTCCATTTTGAACTATGGTGCGGTTCGTTTGGGCAGTTGGGCAGTAATCCTACTCTGGTTTGGAAAAATATGCGAGAGGTTGTCTTGGACTGTTTCCAAGCAAACCTTAGTGCGGCTCGATTGCAGTGAGAACAAAACACAGGTGATTATGGGCTGCCTGTGCGGGCCTTATTTGCCTGACATCTGGGCCGAACAGAACATATAGAATATGCTAAATAGAGTCTCCATAAATAGTGATGTTTATGAAGTAATTTGAGATAAACTGGATCAGATCACACACACACACACACACACACACACACACACACACACACACACACACACACACACAAACAGTGAGTATCAGCTATGAATTTAGGTTAATTTGATACATAATCAGTAAAATTGGTTACACCTGATCTGCACTTCAGGAGTCTTTAAAAGACTGCCTATTCCAACATTTCTGGTTTGTCTCTCTTGGTTGCTTTAGCTGTGCCACTGTTTGATTTCTTGCTTGTTTATTCATTTTTAATTCCGCTTTCAAATATTAGAGGCACTTTTGAGTCTTTGTATTTGGTCTAAATGATATAAGATAAAGTCAGTAACAATAATTTCGCCAAAATAAAACCCCAAAGAAAGAATATAAGTAGTATGATCCATGGTATTGAAATTTACACGTAGAACATTTTAAATACATGGAATTCCATCGAATACATTCAAATTAAACTTGCATTATACTGCTGAGAGTTGCTACCTTCCTTTATATGATTATAATTTCCCTACATTGAAGCTTTTGGGAAGTTGTTGCTAGAGCTGTTGTGAGGAAAGTGTGAAAGCGCTGAGAGCGACAGAGAGGATGATGAAGAGGAAAGGTTGGAAGGAGTGTCAGTCACCTGGAGGAGCCCAGTGTGCTTGACATCAAATGCAATGGGAGAGAGATGAGAAATCTGCCTGACAACGTGTCTGGCAGCTGAGATACTGAAGTGAAGAGAGATGCAATGTGTGATGTCATCTAAACCAGTCATGAGAAACTGACAAATCAAGTACATCATGTGACACTGAAGAGGGCTTTAGCTCAGACCAGGAGTTGTGTTTGAAGACTTTGGATTGAATGGGGTTGACGACTACAGTGAAACTGTTTAGTGAACGATGCCAATTATTGCTGTTGTGCTGGTGCCCCATTGCTTTGGAACCAGAGGAATCTGCGAGCCCATATTTTAGTTACACCCCCCCCCCCCAATGCATTAAGAACCAATGCAACCAATGTCCTTTCAGTTAGACTTGAATATGACTTGATGCCCTTGTAGGAAAATAAAATGCTCACATTTCCTGAATTATGTCATACAAACTAATAATCTATTATAAATTCAGATACTTGGAAAGGAGTCGCAGTGAAACGGAGCTCTCTGCATCTCTGCTCTCCAATGAAAGATAACTGTTATTATTCGACTGCGCACGTCTGGCAAGTGGGAAAGAAACAAGTGATGGACAGCTGGGCAGAGATGTCTGAGAAAAGCAGATTTATTGGGGGTTTGAGATTAGAATAATTAATAATTTAAATAGACAAAACTCCCTTTGCACTCAACCTTTCTATTCCTACGAGGATCAAGTTTGTATTACATGTGTGTGCATATAATCAGATCACCAGTGTATATTACCATTCATTTACCATGCCCGAGAGAGAGCAGACCCTCACACACGTGCCACTGCTGAATCTCTGCCAACATCCAGGTGAGGCCGGGGTTCACTGAAGTAACCCATTGATCCTCAGTTATCTCCATCTCTAAATCCACCTGCACTTTATATATAAAAGACATGTCCTTGCCAGCCTTTGATGTTATGAAGGCGAAATGTCACACACCTGAGAAAGAAACGTGAGAAGCAAACTCTTGCAGGTTTGCCCACCTCTGAGGTTGTCATATTATGTATCACAATAAATAAATATATAAAGAGTGCACATTTAGAGCACATTATTGGGACTCCCCTCCAATCTTTGGGATATAAAGCTGGTCCCTTCTTTTTTTTAAAGACCAATGGTCAAAGTCTGTGTGTGCATGTGTGTGAATATGAGCTGGCAGGATTGTGTATACTGTTATGCACATACCAGAAAGAAACACTACAGACCAGCTCTCAGAAAACTTTTATCTTTAGTTTGATACACAGGATCTGTGTTTAATTGCTGTAATAAAACACTACAGGATAAGCAATAAAACAAGGGAATCTTATCTGATCTGAAATTGTCAACTATTCCAAATATAAAGAGTCACTGCACTTCCATGATTGTCCACTAGAGAGCTTCAGATATCCACTTTCAGTCAGCCACACATTAGACCAGCTATTAAAAGCACTTGTAAAATTCATTGTTATTACTGAAAAGGTTCTTGAGTCATTTATTTACTAATTCACAGCATTTAAGATGACAATGTGTTGGTAGTGAGTGACTAACATTTCTAAAGATCACCTAAAATAGTCCTCCAGTGTAAAATGTTTTATTATGGGATTATGGCACTTAAGAAAATGCAGATATCATGTTTGTCAGTTAAATTCAAATACACACCAAATACACATCTGAATCACACTTGTCTGATCAAAAATACAAATAGTGAGACACAAAAAGCTGAAGAGGAACCACAGTCAGATGTCATCGTATAGCGCATTGATAAGTCACAGGGCTCGTGAAACATATTCTTTTCCTCCTCACACTTTAATCAAATGATGAATGGTGTCAAATTATAATACCTCTATTTTCTTTGGCCTTGTCTAGAGAAGGTTTCACACAACAGAACAACTGTGATGTTTGACAAACCATGGAACAGCTGTTCCACATGAGTCACTGATGATAAAGGGTTTACAGTACCTTGATAGCAGAGATGTACAGTACAAGCAAAGTACACATGTAATAAACATGGGGGGGTAGACAACAAAATGTCCAGAGTTTGATATCAAGGCTTTATTCAAATTCACTTCAAAATATGAAATAGTAAATATTTTACTTTTTACTCCACTACATTTGTCTGACAGCTTTAGTTACTTGTTTCTTTCCAAATTACTATTTTTCATACCCTTCCTGTCCAGTGGAAACCACTTATCTCCAAATTTGGTGATTTTAAATGTTTGCAATAAACTGAGGGGTTAAGTGTTCGTTCATGGTTTGCGGAAACCCTCCTAAAAACCCTCTGGACCGTCACAAAGCCGAGATGAGGACTGTTGTTCTCAACTCACAAAAAAAATACATTTTAGCTTTGCTGTACATTTATCTACCAAACAGTTCATAAATTAGTTGAAATCAGCAGTAATATTATTCCAAAAACATCATCAGTGAAGCAGTGACAACAGCAATTTTACTGAGTACTTAATGCTTGATGCTTTAAATAATTTGTGCTTACATTCTTATACTTGAGTATGATCTTAAATGAAGGACTCTTACTTGATGAGTGTTTTTAGGCATACAGAGGTTTTGAGAGACAGACTAACTCATTGTTGGTGTTGGTCTTTTAATGAGAGTCATTGACACTTAGAAAACTAAGTGTCAATAAGATAAACTCCACAAGCTTTGTCCTTTAACAACTTTCCATTTGACAAATGTCTCACATTTGAAGCAGTGTCTGTATTTGTGTTAACTTCAGGATCATATTCTACTGTTTAATGTCTTAACGTGTTGAGTTCATTACAAGGTAGATACATTATTTATTTCTGTACTTTATTTAAATCTACACTACATCTTCATCTCTCCTCTTCTTCTTTACCTGGAAGAAGAGAACAACCAGATTGACATTTGCCTTCCCCGTTCTAGTAATGAAGCAGTAAAGGAGAGGGTCTGCAAGGCAGTTGAGGCTTGAGATAGCTATGCTGATCTTGTATGGATAAAGGAGCCATGCAAGATTCCTGCAGTCATCCACTACTGTGCGGAGGAGCATCATGACGTGGATAGGTCCGAAGCAGAACAATAGGCAGAGCAGAGCTACTGTCAGCAGCTTTGAAATCCGTTTACGTTCCTGTTCCTCTGTGGCCTGGTTGGATTTCACTGCCTCACAGATCCCCCAAGTGGAAAACACCCCAACGAGAAAGGGAACAATAAAGCCCAGGATTAAGCGTGCTACATTAGCCCGAACCAAGTGATCTGACATCGGGAGGACGATATCAAAGCACATTGAGAAGTTGTTGTTTTCATGGTATGAGTCCTCCCATGTGATGGTGCTGGCATTGAAAGAGACCACCAACACCCAAATGGCGACGCTGACCGCTGCTGCAGTGCCAACTTTCCTCAGGAAAGTGTACTTTAATGGGTGAACCACTGCCAAGTAGCGGTCAACAGCAATGCAGCAGAGGAGAGCATCACTGGTGTAAAAGTTAGTGAAGAGAGAGTAGACAGATAGCACACAAACGTAGCCCCCGTGGGCCCAAACTCCTTTCCATTGGAAGTCCAGCCATAGGGAAAGGCCGATAGTGAATGTCAGGTCACTCAGGGCCAAATTGAATAGATACACACCAAGCCCATTCTTCTGTCTAATGTGCTGCCAGGACACATAAAGGAAGAAGGCGTTGGAAGGGATGGCAGTGACGATGATAGCCAGGTAGAAAAACATAAACGGCCTCCTCCTGGATAAACCGTCAGTGGAGTAACATTCTGAATTATTTGTGCCCAGGGTTAAGTTTTCCATCGCAGATGTGGCGTTCCTATGCTCACACCTTGTGGAGAAACGAGGAAGGACATTATGAGAGAAAGACACAACTCATTTGAATTCAGATTATCTATCAGAGAATACTATTCAGCCTGTGACATAAAGTCTGGATTACAACAAATGTTGTGGAGTCAGAGATAATCTACTGAAAGATGCTGTTGTGTTTCATCATGGGCAATGTAAGATTCTGTGATTTTGGAGCTTGGCAAATGCTTGAGACTAAAAGTCAGGATATCCTAGCTTCTGCTGCTTTGATATTGCACAATGTATCATGTGGTCCCCTCTATTTAATGGAAGTGACATACTGAATCACTGGAGTGGAGTGTTTAAAGTAGAATTCAGGGAGTTTCACTTGTTTTAACAAATTGCCTTACCTTACTGTTGACTTCCAGAAAATGTATGGTTTAAGTAAAATTTCAGTAAATTTGGAAAATCATCTTGCAGGGTGGAGTAACTTTAGTCTGCTTTAATTTCTGTCTACTCAGAGTGGTCTGCTATTACCATTTCTAAAACCACTGATGTGACACTTCTTTGGAAGGTGGTTCTTACACAATACATCCTGCATCACCACATGACAAAAACATGTTGGAACAAAAGCAATGGTTGATCAGATGAGTTATCTGAGATGGATTATCTATCTAGAGCAAGATTCAAGTTGAAATGTATTTCCACCTTGCTGAAAGGAAAAAATTAGGAAATCATTTTAAACATAAAAAAACGGAGGTATGGTCCTTTTAAGCGTATCAACCATAAACATACTTCAACTGAGTAAGTATTTTATAATTGAAAAAATAAAGTCAAATGAAGATCTACTTACTTTGTATTCAGTTTATTTTTCCGCTCCAAAGTATGTCCATAGAAATATTTATTATCAAAATGAAAACATTGAAACAGATGCAGAGTGTATTCATTTGGTTGTCTCGTCTTCACTGCTTAATCAGCTCGCTTATGGAAACAGGAAGATTCAACAGCTGCCTCCTCGTTGTCCCTGACTACCATATGTCATTTACTGGGTGACAGGCCATAAGAGAACAAACTACCGGTGTTAGAGGACCACAAAGCAGATTTAATTTGGCTACTGAGTTTATATGAGACTGCGTGTCTTTATGTTTGGTGTGTCAATATAGACACGGACTCAGGTAAAGGTGACACTGATTATTGTCTGATAAAAGAATACACTGTTTGACTAATTGTTTCCATAGCGTAGTTATGTTGTTATGACTAGGGCTAAGACTACGTGCTCCTAAACACACACACACACACACGCACACGCACACACACACACACACACACACATATATATATATACTCCCCTCCCCTCTCTCCTGCCTTTCCTGTTTTTCTCTCTTATTAAGCCAGAAATACCCCACAAAAAAGTCACAGTCTTTCTTCAAGGAAAAAGTATTCAAAAGTTCGGCCAAAGCTAATATGAGTCTTCAACAAAGTAAATAGGGAATCTTCCAAAGAAGTACCGAATGTCCTCTTTGTGTTACTATCCCTCTGCTGTGGCTGAGAACAGCACAAAGAAGGAATTTTGTACTAAAAAGACAAAATAATAAAGACAATTCAGACTTAATCAATCATCAAATCAATTTCATTATTACATTGGTTACAAATTAAACAAATAAATACATTTGTTGTCAGGAAATGAATTGAATTCCATTCGACCTCTCGGACCCTTTCCTCCTCACAAAAACTCTGTAACAATTCTCTAGAGCTTTCTTAATCTCTTTCTGAGCGCTGTCACTGATTAAACAGTATATTATAGGATCCAGAGTACTGTTGATGGTGGTCGTGGCAACTGTGACCAGGTACGGATCTCTGAGCCTCGTGGCCCAGACGCAGGACCCAGGCTCCAGTATGACCCTGAGCAACATGACAGTCTGGTAGGGCATAAAGGCCACTATGTAGGTTATAAGAAGGAACGACAACAGCAGTCCCACTTTCCTGCGCTCCCCCGTTAGGATGGAGGTGCTCTTTCGGAGTGACCGCATGATCTGCTGAAAACAAAAGGTCATGATGAAGATGGGGACCAAGAAACCCAGAGTGACTCGTGTAAGAGCGAGGTTGGCATCTTCTTGCGTCATGGGTATTCGCTCATCACACAAGTCTCTGGAGGAGAAAGCTTGCAGCGCCACCGTATGGTTAAACAAGATGATATGGATGGCAATCTCCAAACTCCAAACACCAATACACACAACGGCAGCTGTCTGCATCTCTCGAACCCAGTGAAAGTGGAGAGGATAGACCACTGCCAGATAGCGATCAACAGAGATGCAGCAAAGGAGGCCTGAGCCGACGTAAAAGCTGTTGTACATGATCACAGCCACTAAACTGCAGAGATGACGCACAGGCCTCTGCAGGGCCAGCTCAATCCACACAGGCAGAGAAATTGTGTAGAGCAGGTCAGAGATGGACAGGCTGAAGAGGTAGACCGCTATGTTGTTCCCATTCCTCATCAGCATCCAGGCTACATACAGAGTCAGGCAGTTGGCCGGAAAGCCCACGATAAAAAACAGAGAATAGACAGCTGGATACATGCTCTTTTCGACTGAGGTCTCCATGATGCAGGAGGTAGATGTACTCCTGTTCGTCTGGTTGAGCAGAGCCGAGAGCATTCTAACGTGATGACCAAATCCGAATGTGGATGAAAATGAAGGGCTCTGTGTTTTGTTGAACAGAGATAAGCTCTGTCAAACATGTTATGGCATGCTATGAATGGAAACAGCATCCAATGCTTTCATTGTGGCTGTCATTTCATTTCTGCATCGCTGAATGTCAACATCAGATCGACTCAAAGATTAATCTTTACCCGAAAGTTTTTATGCAAATTATACTGTGTTGGCAGTTGTTCCACCAACGATGCATTTCCTCTACAAACTTCCCCATATATTTTTATTTACATTTTAAATAGGAAAATGGTCCAATATTTCATAAAAAACAAACATTTCGACAATAATCTAAAAAATACAATTATAAAGTTGATCAACAAAATTCTTTTTTTTGAGGGGTCCAACCCTAGGTCAAATGATATTTATGCATTGATGCATTATTGTCAATAAAATAATTTAATAACACAATGTATAGTGACATATCAGTCATAAGGGCCATTTTTGCGCACACTGATTTTACTTTTGTTACTCTTGTGTTTATTTTGCTGATAATATCCTTTGTATTTTACTTGAATAGGATTGAATGCAGGACTTGTACTTATATTGTTATATTGACTTTATATTTTGGGCTTTTCAAGACAAGCATGTATTTGTATAACCTATCATTCCCTGCTATGGTGCAGTGGAGGATTTGATTAGTTCAGCTGTGTTTCATTAAGTTGAAATTTGGCAAAGCATTGTGCCACTGAGGCCATACAGTTAGAGCCATCTGTTTGTAGTTTACATTGCATCAAGAATGTGTTGGTTCTCAGAAGCCTTTCCATTGCGAGGATAGTGAAGCCTAGCGTTCCTTTCTGTCCTTTTGTATTCTTATATTATGGGAGTTGAGATCCATTGTACAAAATCCGCCAACTCCGATATGTGCAACACACCCAATCTTTCCTATTTAAATGAATGATTCGCAGATCACTTTTCCTATTTCTTATGAAGTCTTTATTTTAGAAGAGCATTTGAAAACACTGAACATTTGAATGTACATTGTATATCAATAGTTTTATTTCAACATGATACACATTTCAACAAATACAGATACAAGGTGAGGCTGTGCTATAGATGTAAACAATGTAGAACCTGAATAAACAAAGTCTATGATGTGTTGAATAAAATATAATTTCCTTTGACCCTGAGAGCGTTAAAAGAGTATTCCATCAATTTAATATTGCAAAAACAAAATAATGCAGAGAAACCAGAGTAATAAGAATTATTTTTAGTCAAAAGCTGGTCCTTGCATTATCCACGATACAATTCAGCCGCCAACAGTTCAATTGGATATTTAGATGTGTAACGCTTGTGTTGGGTTATTTAGTGTCACGGTTGGGCTTTGCCTTGTGTGTGTGTGTGTGTCTCCTGATCGTGCTCAGTCTCTTCACCTGTGCCCAATCACCTGCCCCTGGCTTTCCCCCCTGGCTTTTCTCTCTGCCAACCCCACTCATTTCAACTCACCTGCCTGCAATCTTCTCATCACCCCACACACATTACTCCTCTGCTTTCCCTGTTCCGATTGTCATTTGTTCCTTGTTCTTCCCATGGGGTGCTTCATGTTTTGGCCTTGTTCCTCCCCATGGGGTGCTTAATGTTTCGGCCTTGTTCCTCCCCGTGGGCTCCTCATGTCTCCAGTGTTTATCCCTCGTGTTGACCCTCTCTGTCCCATGGTTTGTGACTTTGCCTTTTTTGTGACCTTGCCATTTTTGTGACTTTGCCTTTTACTTCAATTTGGATTTTTCCACACTCCCTGTTGGAGTTGGTTTTAGTTCCTGTTCTTGACTGCTTGGTGCCCAGTAAAGAACCTTGCATTCTACCTAACCTTGTTGTCTGTTTCTGCGCCTGAGTCTCTGCTCTACACTGAAACCCTCACAGAAAACCGTGAACCCTCACATTTAGCCTGGAGTCTCCTGCGGACATGAGGAAATGTGAAAATATCAGACTTTTAACTGCTCCCTTGAGCTGTAAGAGGAGTGAGAACTTGTTTTCACATATAGTCCCATACTTATAAATGCTTTCTTTCCTTCTTTTACTTTTGTCTCTTGGCAATAAAACATTGTTCTCACTGAGTTAGTTTGTTAAGATCTGGGAACACAGCAACATCATTAAAAATTATTCAGATCACTTTGCAAGAACCACAAGCTATCAGACAATCATACCGATTTTAAACAAATGGGTTAATTGATTTAAACAAAAAGTTTTTTGGAGCAATGAGGGATTATTGGCAACATTTTGGGTGAACTCACTTTTGGTTTAACCTCAAAATATTATCAATACACCTGTTCAACCAGCATGAACATAAAGCAAAACCTAATTCAAACGGCTCTGTCCGCAGTCTCTCATCCACCTCCGCTATGTATAAACAAGCACACAAGCTCAGCCAAAATCTTTCTTTAGCTTTCTTTATGTAGTCGGTTGAGCTTAGTTTGTTCTTAAAAATTTCTCTTCAGTACAGAGTAATGATAAGAGTAGATCCTCGTAGCAATAAGGTCCTGAAGATACCTATCCCTACCTGAAGGCTACTGTAGTTCTCTGACACGGTTGGAAAGGGAGGGGTGAGCAGAGGGGTATTTAGTTGGTTGCAATCTGCAACACACTAGATGCCACCATATCTTACACACTGTTCCTTTAACTTGGAGACAACGTTATCGTAACCAAGAAAAAACATCTACAAAAATAAGAACATATGTAATATTCCGATATCATACTTGATTATTTGTGTCACATTGAAGAGGAAAACAAATGAAAGCATGTCTTTTTACTGTGGTGAAAGTTTATTCATAGGTCAGCATAAGATTAAGACTTTGTGTCTTTATCGTATGCGCATGCGTATTTGCCACTCCAGGTGTAACATTACCTTGATGATGCAAATAGTTTCACAATTGTAGCACAGAGTTTGTTCCATTAACAGTGATGTTTGTTCAAGCTGTAAAACACCAACACGACTGAATAAGTCACTACTCTTTACACTACGGTGACTTTTAATAGTAAAGAAACCATACAAAGCAACAAACTACATGCATGCAAATGTATGCACAGTGTGTAGGTGGCCATTCTCTTATGTTAGCTTTCTGGAGTCAAAGAAAGGATACATTAGTCCCAGCATCAGAAACAGACGGGGAAATACATGGTTATAAATGATGGCAGGGTTTGTTTTTGGATGTTTGACATTAAAATATTACAAGACAGTTACAGCAACACCATACAGTACAGAGAAACAGATTCACACACATCTTGAGACATGCACATAGACGAGAAAGGAAATAAATTGCTATTAAGACTTTAAACCATTGCTGTTACACAGAGACAAAGTCTGTTTCCTGCTTTGTTGTACATTACTCCATTATCATGATGTGTGCCCATTACTTCTGCAATTAAAAAAATATTGTAGTGCTGTTTAATTATGTAGCAGTGTTATTATTGTATTAGGTCTGAAAGCATTTCTAAAGAAACAACAGTTATAGGGCATAAATTGAGTCACGTGTTGTCATCGAACACTTGTACATCACAGTGTGTTGAGAGCAAACAATCAAACAGCTCAGAGTTTAATTATGTGAAATTGTAAAAGAAAAGAAACACCCTAGCTTCTCAAAAAGAAATCCTGCAAATCAGCTTAAGACTACCTCAGTTTTAACACTTCTCGACATTGTTGAGCGTGTGGAGGTGGTGCTGAAGGTCGTTCTGTTAATGCTCCACTGCTTGAAGAGTTCCCTAACTTTTTTGCGGAAGTTCTTTCCTACAATAACGTAGAGGATGGGGTTAAGAACACTGTTGAAGAAGGCAAAATACATGAAGATATTTGCGCAGGTATATACGATAGTGGCGATGGTACAGTCTGTCAGGACTTCAGCATGTACAAGCAATGCGACTATCTTAACCAGGTGGAATGGTACCCAGCAGATCATAAACGCCAGGAGGACCGCCAGCACCAGAGTGGTGGCCTTCTGCTCCATCCTCTTGGCGTTTAACCCAACAATTAACCTGTTATTCAATGCTCGAATAATCCTGAATGTGCAGAAGGAAATAATGGAAATGGGGATGATGAAGCCGAACGTCGTCAGCATCACAGTAAACAGACAGTTTTCAGTGATTCCGTAATTCAAATGGCATACAGTAGAGTTTGAGTAAGTGGAATATGTCACTTTCCTGTAGACAAGCATGGGGACACTCAGGAACAATCCAAAACACCATACCAGCAGACAGCCCAGTTTGGCATATTTTGGCCTACGCATTCCCTCAAAGGACAGCGGGTGCACCACTGCCACATAGCGATCTATGCTAATCAGAACGAGGAAGTAGATGCTGCAGTAGGCGTTCATGTTGATGGAGAGGGTGACCAGTCGGCACAGGGGATTACCAAAGGTCCAATTAAATTTTTTGGCTACGTACTCAGCCCAGAAGGGCAAAAAAAACGTTAGGAGGAGGTCAGCAGCGGCCATGTTGCTCAGGTAGATCTCAGCTATGGTGCAGGCCTTCTTATGAAGGCAGAAAACCATCAGTACAAACACATTTAACACGATTCCCAGCACAGTGATGAGCAGGATATACACTTGCAGCACAGTGAAGTGCCATTCCTTCAATTCTGCTGTAGGACACGTCGTGTTATTTGTGTTGTTTTGTTCTCCAGACATAACCGCAGGGCTGAAGTTAGCAGGGACACTGTGGAGAGTCAGAAAAAAAGGCAATTTGAAAAACTTTGACATTTTCTTTAACATTTTGTCCTTATCATTATGTGGAATACTGGGAAACACTGTGAAGTGCTGAGAAATATTGCGTTAATGCTTTGAAATATTAAATACTGAGTGACACAGAATACTGTGAAATAGTTGTTTTCCCATTTTAATGTAGTCCCCAGAGAAGCTGATTGTGGATTAAAAAAAAAGTGGCAACTTTTAGGCTCAATAGGTGTCAGTTTTACAATGATGTTATCTGACACAACAGTCTGGTAAGACGGCTAAGGTTCAATGAGTTCCTGTAAAACTCTGCAGGAAAAGACACTGGCATGCGTTTGTGGTGTGGCCTGGGACTCTACAGGGTATGACCTTGGAACTTTTTAAATAAAGTATAAGATTGTATGATAGATAGATAGAGATGCAGCCGAGTGTGAAGCGGCGGGGATGAGAGTTAGCACCTCCAAATCTGAGGCCATGGTTCTCTGCCGGAAACCGGTGGATTGCTCCCTCCAGGTGGGGACGGAGTGCCTACCTCAAGCGAAGGAGTTCAAGTATCTCGGGGTCTTGTTCACGAGTGAGGGTAAGATGGAGCGGGAGATCGACAGACGGATCGGTGCGGCTGCAGCAGTAAAGCCGGCGCTGCACCGGACCGTCTTGGGGAAGAGCGAGCTGAGCCGGAAGGCAAAGCTCTCAATTTACCACTCGGTCTACGTTCCTACCCTCACCTATGGTCACGAACTCTGGGTCGTGACCGAAAGGACAAGGTCGCGGCTACAAGCGGCCGAAATGAGTTTCCTCCGTAGGGTGGCCGGGCTCAGCCTTAGAGATAGGGTAAGGAGCTCGGTCATCAGGAGGGAGCTTGGAGTCGAGCCGCTACTCCTTCGCGTCGAAAGGAGTCAGCTGAGGTGGTTCGGGCATCTAATTAGGATGCCTTAGAACGCCTCGGGATCCCCCAGAATGAGCTGGAACATGTTGCCGGTGAGAGGGAGGTCTGGGTCGGCCTGCTTGACCTGCTGCCACCGCGACCCGACCCCGGATAAGCGGTGGAAAATGGATGGATGGATGGACATCTATCCATCAATATGTGGATCTAAAGCAACCCCATACCTGTTTATTGGCACTACCTGAGATGCACAAAATACAAAAGATTCATTAAAACTGATAAAAATGTAGATGTTTTTGCCAATAAACTCTTCCCATTTGCAATGTTTACAATTTGTATAAGCTAATTTGCAAGTAGTTCATCAAATTAATAATTATTCACTGTTCTGTCCCTTATGAGCTGTTAAAAATCCTTTCAAACATTTTGGATGTTTAAAGGATTAATAAATTATTTTGTGAGGTAATGCTCAGCTAAATAATGCAGAGGGCAGGATGTTTGCAGACATGAGACATTAACAGGATTACCATTGTGCCGCAAGTCATTTTTAGAATTGGAACGATTAGAATCAGTAGCAGGATCATTTTCGTAAAGATTCACGCTATTTGGTGAAAGCAATGAAAAAGCTGACAAATATTCTGAACTTAAATGTTTCCCCAAACACTTAAAGTTGCACATCGCATTTCATGTTGATGCTGGAAAAAATTAAGCTAATTCTAAATGACTTTATCTGCTGGGTAGCTTGTGAATTTCCCACAACTATCAATAAAGTTGTATCTATAACTTTACATGATAGTTTATTTGCTGATTATATTTTGTACATTATTTTTGAATATGCAAAGTATGAAGAGTAGAATTGTAAATTAACAGGAAGTGGATAGAGTACAAGTACCTTGAAACTGTACTTTCCACCACTGATTATTATTTAGGACAACTTAATGCATTCAATTTCTTTAACTCTTTTCTATATTCATATCAGAATTGAACAAACGGCACAACAGTTTTAAATACTTGTCATAGTGATTTGACTAACTATCTAAACCTTAATCTCATTGACATCTAACACTAAACGTGTTGAGGCACATTGACATGTCTGAACAACAAATTCGATTTGTATCATTTAAACAGGCTGTGCCCTGTCATGGCTAGATTAAACCGTTTTCTGTTTGACTTTATATCATGAAGATGAATATATATAAAGAGTCTGTATACTGTCATTCACAGGCAATGTTATAAAGCACATAGCAAAGTATATAAAAGCCAGAAAAAGATTATACCTTGTGGGCAGATGAGCCATTCTTTCTGAGGAATTCCAGATGTAGAATTTCCAGGCACAATACACTGCTCCAGTACCTCCTACTATTCTCTCCGTCTCTGACTCGCTCTCTTAAATGAGAAGGGAAGCTGATATAAAATCATGTCTCCTCCTCCATTCTGTCCCGCTTCTATTTTTTCTATCCCATTTTCTAGTAGCATTGTATACACAGCCTGTCTGTCTGTTTGCAGTAAAGTTTGTGTCTACCTAAGTCTCATTTTTTTATATTATCTCAGAGATGTTCATTTTTTAGCAATATATTTAAAGGTGCTAAATTTGAAATCTATTGCCTCCACACGGCTCTCATCATTGAGACAACTGAGCTGTTGGCTCGCAGCTAACAGTGCAAACAAGGGTAAACGTGCTGACAAAGGTAATAGTGTTAACCTGGGAGTTGCTACACTTCTGTGACGACGTTGTCGGTGGGGCAATGTTTGAGTGCAGTGCCGAGGAGATACTGCGAGACATTGTTTGGGCATGCTATACCCTTACTAGATATAGCGACTGTAGAGTAAAGTAGAGGAAACTGAATTCAATGCTTTTTAAGACTTTTCAAGACCTGCAGACGCCCTGCAGGAAATAAAGGAAGAGAGAGACATATTTAGTGCCATATATATATATATATATATATATTTTTATTTTTTTTTATTTTTTATTTTTTTTCAAGAAGCCTAGTAGTAGTAACAGCGTCTCTGTGTAGTCAACAACTGTCAAATCAAATAAAGAAAGTACACATCAATTATATTTTAACAATTATTATTGTGTTTTCAAATTGAACTGGATGGATTATAAACAACACATAGAAATACATAAATAAATGTTCTTCTCATTTCAAGTAAAATAAGAGCTGCATTAAATAATAACTGACATAACAGAAAGCTTTTGAAAAATGTGCATCTTAAAATAAAGTAATTCATTTTAGAAAAAATGAATTTCCCTGAATTGCCCTGCAGCTTTAAATTCAGTTCATTCAGCTGTGAAGTGATGTCAATCAAAAATCAATATTATATTTTTCTCATCTTCTAACAAGATAAATTAGTGTGCAGGGACTTTATCTGTGGTTATTAAACCACTTGTTTCAGCTCTATTCTCTCTGTTAACATCATTGTTGAACAGTGAATTCATGTGTTAGGATTCTGATCATATTGGGCTCTTAGGTTCATTTTCTGTGACTTCATTTCAGATGTGAGTGCGTATATTAGTTCAAAAGAGTTGTGCTTTGTCTCGTAGTGTCGCTTCATATTACTGCTATTAATAATCGTCACGGTCTCTGAACATGCATGAGACATACTGGTTTTAAACTGTCTCTCTTTGGAGAACTTCATTGGAAATAACTTCTCTGACCCACGTAATTATTCTCCAGGGCCAAATCCCAATGTCCCCCCTCACGGACTCACGGGCGCGCTCCTGCAAAGTCCGTGAGGGTTTAGGGAAGTCCCACTGTCAAATCATTGAGTGTTTGAGGGATCTCTCACAGACATTTTGAGGCCTTTATGAACCCTTTGCGTAAGTCAGCATGGTATGCTGACTTTGCCTATAGGAATTACCCACAAATCATTGCAATGTGACGTTAAACACGGGGTAACCAGTGGACACATGGAGAGGTAAAAAAAAGGTAAACAAAGAGGACGGCTCACATGTGTTCAGCCTGTCTTATTCAATTTGCACAGAAACATTAAGGGTTAAAGATGGAACAAAAAATAAACATGAAATCAGAGAATATTTATTTATTTATTCATCAAATATTAGATTTTGTCATTGAAGCTGTTTTGACAAAAACGAGTAAATAGATTATATGAAGTTACCTTATCTTGTGAGGAAAGAGCCAGGAAGACGTTCAAATCAGGGAGTAAAAAGTATAAAATAAATACCCACAATTGTACATCATATTTTCTGTTGTTTTCATGGTAACGTGATATGTTGCAGCAAAGTGCTCACCCATTCCTATTTACATCATTTCAAGGCCTCACAGTCTCTCACACTCAACCACTTACCAGGTGACGTCAGTAAGTCCTTGAGGGTTCAGGGTTTAGGGTTTAGGGGGGACATTGGGATTGGGCCCTGCTCTTTGTTTTCTCTCCTTGTCTCTCTACATTTCACTCGAATCAGGAAACTTGTCATAATACGCATATTTGATTGGCTGAGCTGCATCACGTGATGTGATTTGCATCGCTGAACAAGTGCCGTAAAGGCTGAAAAAGCTGCGCCGGTTAAAATAGAAGCGCTCCGTCAAAATTTAATAATTCTTAATTATCTATCGGTTTTAGGTCCTGGGTCCTGGGTCCGGATACAACGGCGTCTGGGTCTGGATCCGGACCGTGGTCCGCCTGTTAGTGACCCCTGCACTACAGTGATAGCTGTCTGTACATTGCTAACAGGATTTGCTAACTACTGATATTACAACAGCTCATTTGGTGAGACTTTAGAGTCTTGATGCTCTCTTGTATATGCATATATGCATTCGTCAGATTATTAGCAAAAACATTTTTTGATTTACTCAAATTGCACACGTCAAATTTCACATTGTGCTGATAAAACAGGAACACCGGTGTTTTTCCAGTTTATGGGTCATATTGCCTCTTGTGAAAACATCTATGAAGTGATTCATTAAACCCATTTTTGGTGGAATTCTAATGTTGGGTGGAGGCAAGATAGCTCCATCGACTTGCAACCCCGCCAACGTTATTTATTCACCAAATTCCTCCTCCTCCTCCTTCTCGTCAATCTGACGCACAAGGGTACTGAGTCAAAACCAAGAGGAAAATGTCAGTGTCATGCCAAAAAGAAAGGTGAGGTGGGCCATCCAATCCGGTTGAAATTAATCGGTGCTGAAAAAACACCAATATTAACACAAATTATACAACTGGAGAACTCACTGTATAGAGACATCCTTATGTATTCCTGACTGAAAGAACACACAGATTTTTGTTTTTGATCTGAACAGGGCAAGTGCAGCACAAAATGTATAGCCTTTTTCTTTCTGCAAAATATGCTTTTGCAAACACACAATGTGGAATGAGGCATAGTAAGCTCGGGGGAATAGGATAATTACAACAATGCATGGGCATAAACAAGATTAAAACAAGGCCTCACAGTAATTACCTGTAATTGTTCATGTTATTAGATTTTGATAATTAGGCTACTGGAAATGGATGTTCAACTTGGAACACACAACAGACCAACTAGCTGACGGATCCTGAGTTACACATGCATACCTCAGAGTTGTGTTTATTTCCATTTATTTTTTAAACTGCTAAATGTCAAACTTCATCTTTTTACTTAGATGTTAGTGAAAAAACTAAGAATTATTAATAATACAGTATGGAAACTTAAAAAACATGCTTGGACAAGCACCACAAATGTGAAAGTTACAATTTAATAGTAATATTTTTACTGAAATATGTTTTGTTTATATGTCAAGATAATACCGTACAATGGGAATTATGAATGTAAGGCAAGGCAAGGCAAGTTTATTTGTATAGCACATTTCAACAACAAGGTAATTCAAAGTGCTTCACATAAAACCATTAAATTCTACAAAGTACAAAGGTGGCCATTCTCTCCTGTTAGCTTGCGTAGTATGAACTGCTTTGTGGAGTCGGTTCAATTAAACAGATTCAGATACATACTGCATATCTGCAGAGCAAAACATAAGCTTCTTTATGGAGACTGTGAAAATAAAATCTGCTTCCATTGCTTCTAAAGATTACAGCCATTATCTCTGGTTGTGCAATAAACATCCTCTGATGGTGCTGTTAAACAATATAACAGCATTATTATTGCGTTAAGTCTTGAGACTCATATCCTGTATATTGTATTGCTTTTTCCATAAGCAGCAACTGAAGTGGTGGATGTCATGAAGAGTCACATCAGATCCTTTGCATTAAAAATGACCACAGCCTTAATTTGCTCTGTTCTGTTAATGTAAGTGGACACAACAGAGCGTTGATATGTGGTCATATCTGATCCTCTGCGTTGATGTCGAGTCCTCATGTAGATGGCGCTAACTTTCCTCCTGAAGTACTGCCCTGAGAAGACATACAGCAATGGGTTCAGGGCACTGTTGAGAAAGGCCAGATACACTGAAACCTGGCCTCCTATGTCGAGAGTGTGGGACCACAGCTTCTCGTCCAGCGCTTGGACATCACAGAGTATGTTGAGGAACGTTAAGACCTGGAAGGGACCCCAACACAGTAAGAATAGTAGAGTCACAGCATACAGCAGCGCTGTGGCCTTTGTGTCATTAGTGTCATGAAAAGCAACACTCTCCCTCCTCTGAACTAACCCCTTGATTATGTTTCCACTGCTGAAAATAATAACCAGAACAGGAAGTAAAAAGCCCACCACATTCATCAGAATCTGATGGGCCAATTTCCAAGAGCTGTCGTGACTATAATCCAGTATACAGGACATTGTCTCAAACTCCTTGATGAACTTTACCTTTCTGTGAACCATTGTTGGCATGCTCAGTATGGCCGCTAATATCCATGTGATGGAGCAGATCACCTTGGCATAGAGTGTCCGTCTCAGCCACCTGGCCTTCATGGTCTTCACAAGTGCCAGGTAGCGGTCAACACTAATCATGACCAGGGTGTAGATGCTGGTGTAGAAACTGATGATGATGATGGAGTTGACCAGTTTGCATAAGGTATCTCCGTACGGCCAGTTAAAGTCATTGAGGATGTTCATCGCCCAGAAGGGGAGGCCACACAGGAGAACAAAGTCAGCAAGCGCCAGGTTGCTCAAGTAGATCTCTGCTACTGTCAGTCGATCCTTGTGAGCGAAGAACACCGCCAGGACAAAGCTGTTAAAGAGAAGGCCTAACAGGGATAAGGTGAAGATGTACGGGGGAACGATAGAGTGGATGAGTTCCCATTCTGCAGGGATCGGAGACTCTGATGGACCGGATGGCAGGGACACACTGCTGTTTTCAGACCACAGTGTTGCCACAGATACAAGCGTCATTGGGTCCATGGGCTAGGAAACAAAATAATCATAAATAAGTCATCGGTAAAATCCTATTATCACATTTAAAACACATGGTGGTATG